CCTGCTGAATTCTCACACGACGATGTAAATCCTTCAAAGACATGTCTTTAGGTTTTTGCCTCAGATCATTCTTGAAACTCGTCCACGATGGAGTCAATTTTTCAATCAGAGTTGCCATCTGGAACCGTTCATTCACCATGATGCCTTGTCCCGCCAAATTGAGGAAGATGATTTGCAATTTATCTACTTGTTCCACAACACTCCTTATATATACCATACGGTAGTTTAGGAGCTTGACTACACCATTCGCCCTTGGCTAGCCTATTCGACCCGATACTTATGATCAATCACTTCCAGAGTTGCTTAGCTGTAACATATCTGGAGAAAAATCGTTCAGCACAAAGTTCCAACACATGAAACTGTTATGTTTCCATTGTTGGCAACTAGCTAGAGATTGGTGATGTCGCAAATCTAGGTGCAGAAATATGATCAAGTAATAATATCCTAGATTCAACAAATACCGCAAATGTACAGTTCAATTGTAGTAACTAGGGTCGAACACAGGGACAAGAGTAAACAAATGAATTGAATCTAAATCTAAGTCTAAATCCAAAGAAAATAATGTAGGAATGAGAGTATAACGAAACAAACGATAGAACGATTTTAAAACTATAAATGAACACTGCAGGCTTCGGGATTGCTTTACGTGCAAGGATCTTTCAAAAGATGCAAACTTAGTGGTTTATCTATCCAATCCAGAGAATTCAACCTCTAAGGTAGAGATTAACTCTTCCAAGTCTAATCTCACTATCCAGGTTTAATCATACCAATCTCCCGATTCAATAATCTAAAACTCTGGATGCATGAACGAATGCTATCATGATTCCTAGGCAAATACCCATCTCCCGATGTGATACATGTTATATTTATTGAATTATTTCCAGATTATAATCTCATATGTCTATATGAATTAAAACCCTAAGTTCATTCAACCAAGTGGCCAACGAGATCAAAAGCATTAAGAACAATTCAATAAACTGAATGGAATAAATAGATCCACAAAGTCTGGAAATAAAAACCAAAGATCCTTACATCCCTAACCTACAGCTATGGGACTACTCGCTAAACATCGAGACGTCAGGGTTCACAAAACATCGTAAAATAGAAGAAAGAAAGAATGCTTAGTCGATTTTCCGGCTTCGTAATCTCCGTCTTCTACTTCGATCTCTTGCCTCTTGATAATCTCCCTCTTTTTATGTGCTCTAGGGTGTGTTTTTTGTCAAAAATATGAATGTTTTCGACCTTGGAGGCTAACCCTAGTTAATCCTTCTTTTTCTGGGCCAAAATTTGGAATATTTTCAAAATCTGGTAAGTGACCCGATCGTGTGGCTGAAAGTGACACGATCGTGCCACTTAGAAGTTTTGACAGACTTCATAAATTCACTCATAACTTTTTGCTTCGACATTGGATTTCGGTGATTTTAGCGTCTATGCGTAGATATCGAAGAGAGCTTTCCAATGATGTAGAGAATGCATGATTTGGACTTGTAGAGTGAAAATTATTGGATTTGCAAGATCTAACGTTTATGAGCTTCACGTTTTCTCCGAAACAACTCCAAATGTTCCCGATTTGTCCGTGATGTTCCGTAATCCATATTTTCCACTCCTTTTGCTCTCTTTATGTGTGAAAACCTGTTTAAACACTAAAGAACACAACCATGCAATATCGAAGCCAAATGTGCCCTAGAATGTCTACAAATATATAAAACCGAGTGAAATACGCTAGACATCATATATCAAAACATCACCCAAAGTACGTGTTATCAATTGGACGTTGCCCTCCTCTAGGATTGGTTCCTCTTCAGTGAGGTACCGTGACAACTAAAGTTGTGTTAAGAAAAACAACATCTTTTGTTGCCAGCGTTTAAAATTTTGACCCTTAAATTGTTTAGGTCTCTCAGCCGAGCCAATTGGCACAATAGGAATTGCCTGATTTTTGGAATTCGCAACAACCGAAGGAATTCCTAGTGGAACAACAATGTTCGGAACGTTTGGCACTTGGTTATTCATATTTGTGCCAGCAGAATCATGATTAACGGGGTTCGTAACCTCCGTTATTTGAGGATTCTCAACATCGATATTTATAGCAGGAATCTCATTCCTTGGAGCAGTATTTGAATCTATGGGATTTCTTGGATTATCAATGATCTGTAGAATAAATCCAATTATTATTAGCTTTCAAAAAGCTTATAAACTAAACCGAGTTTCACTTAACTTATAAAGGGCTTCCTCTTCAAACCCGGCCTATTAAGACAAAACTTGCTTCCTCAATTTGTAGGAAAAGTTACGTCTGATTTTGTTCATCGGTTTTTTTTTTCTTTTCGAAAAACAATATTCCAACATTTTTTTTCCACAAAAACACTTTTGAATAAAAGATATTGGGCTTTTCTCTTATGGGCTTTTAGACTAATCTTCTTAAATTTGGCCAAAACAAAACTTTTCAATTTGGACTTACTTTTTTGGGCTTTTCAATTAACCTCTTTGAATTTAATTTGAGCTTCCATTTGGTTAAACTCTTTGAATTTAATTGAGCTCATATTAAATATTAAATTTTGGATTTAAATTCAATTGGGCTTAGACTCATTAATATTTGGACAAGAAAACAACTATTTATTTTTTTTTTCAACATATTTTTTTTAATCTAATTGATTTTATATCCAAATTCGTGTGAGGTTTTATACGGAAACTGAAAGAGATTGAGGCACTTACCCGAAAAGTTTGACTCGTGTTAACTATGAATCGAACTTAAAATTGTTGGGGACACCGGTTGTTGAAGACATCAAAACTCCGGCAATTCTAACGATTCCAGATAAGTACCTGTAATTAAAGATTATTTTATCGAGACCTGTGAAACATCGTTTCTTTAAGTTCGATTTCCGTGCCACCTCTAAAACTTCGAGGCTATTGGAGCACGGTTAACTCTCAGGATACAGCGACTGCGTATTCGGAAGAAGCTTTTCAAATACCAAGTGAACTCAAAGAGAGATATGAGCAAATATGTGAATGCTCTTTTTTTTTCCCTCTAGAATGCTTGTTTTTTTTCTATGTTAAATGAGTTAACCCAAGACTCATATTTATGAGGAGAGAATCTCAAAATAATTTCAATCATATTTTATTTTGATATTATTTCGATTGATATTGATCATATTTGATTGATTTTCTGCAGATTTTATTCAAATTTGATTTTCAAAATCAATCAAAAATATTCTCTCAATATTCTATAAATTTTCTATTAAAGTTTTTAGAACTTTCCACGGATCGTACTTCTCACGTGGTAGACCCGTATGACTGACCGGGTGTAAGAAACATTTATTTCTGGAATTCAATCACATTATACAAAAAAAAAAGTATTCATCAACGATGTATTCAACATCAAATCCGAAACCCTAGAAACCGAAATACTAGGATTTGATATCGGATAATATAAAGTTTCAAAAGCGCGACCTGACTACTAATCTATAGATGTCTAATAGTGAGCATATTAGAAAATAGTTTAATTGTGTACAGGCAATGACAAACTATGGTTCTGTTCTCGAACAACGATGGTTTATTGGTTGGGATCCCTGTCCCCTTCTAAAAAAAACACCACCCATTCAAACTATATGACCGTAGAAATATGACTGCAAATAAAAAACAGATTTAACATAAAAGCCCATATATCATGGTTTTGAATGACATCTAATATCCAACAAAATCAACATTGTCTCTAGACGTCCACGCATCGAAATGGAGAGGGGTTTGCTATTAATTGCAAGGCCAAGATCTCATCGCAACAACTTGCAATGAGTTCACAATAGTCTTGGAGGGTTTTACCGGAAAAGCCCACACAAGGCTTAGAATGCCATGAACTGGATCTCCTGCAAGTATGTGTATACACTGTCAAACAAAAACATTCTAAAGTCTGAAAATGATCGTTCAGGTCATGTCGTAACGAAGCTTACACCCAATTGTTTCTTTCCTTTATCTTTTCTGTCTTAACCAATGTTACTTTCCCAGATTCTTGCTGGTGGTTGATTTTCTTTCGTTTTGCTTGGCTTGAGCTAAAAATCTGAGTGGTATAGACAAACCAAACTCGAGTGAGTAATGGGTGTTCGGCAAAGAGGGCATTCTTGCTTCTCGTTGCACCATTCCATAATGCAGGCCCTGCATATACATCACAACGAAAATGTAAGAGGGAAAAACCGGATGAGTCTTAAAATGCAGCAGGCGTCCATGGAAAGAATACTATTTCAATATCCTCTAGATTGGTTCTGTATTTCAGTGACAAGTTAGTTGTTTAAGGAAAGAAAATTTGATTTCGATAACTCATTACCAAAGTTTGTATTTCTAAGTCAGGAAAAGAAATAGCCTCATCTTTCTGTTTAAATTGGGTTTAGATAAATCAGGATCCTATCTAACCCGTGCAAATCTGATTAACCAAACCAAATCAAAACAAACTGGTATTGTTTTGATCTTGCAACCGTAAAAGCATTTCAAGGTCTTCTTGGCAATGTTTTGGTAACTGGTCTGACATCAGATGCATGAGAAAGTAACAGTTACATGACAGAGGAATATTACCAACAGAATACATGGCCACAAGTTGTAGCTGTTGGGTGCCGACGGTTACTCAAACAGAGAGTGCATTTCCCAACTCCCTGCACTCACGATTCAGTAGAAGGTAAACAACAATATCGTCTATGAGAAGCCATTGATTCTACGAAATACAAGAGAAAATAACAATTATCTGAATTCTGAAGAAGAAATGATGAGAGTATGATGAATGCCGAATGAGTGTTACAGACAACACTGACTAAACTTCTAAAATTTTGTACCTAGGTTACACTCAGGCGCATAAAAAGAACCTCAAGCACAGGCAAGAATGTTGTTTGGAGTTTTGGTATGCGTTTTCTCAAGCTGTTACTTCTCTCACCAGTAGTAATCATTAATCAAGATTGTAAGCCCTTGGGAATAACCCAGGTTTCAAGTTCTTTACAGTTACCTCTGAGGTTGAGGTCGAATCTGAAACCCAATTTCCAGTTTCGGCTTCTGGAGGTATCAAATTTCCCTCTTCGTTTAGGACAGGCAACCCTCTCCCTGCAATAACAAATACCGTTTGAGCCCAAGAAGGATTGCTATGCTAAATATTGAAATCGAAGCCCATGCCACTATCTCCTCAGACATCCACTTCCCAGAAAACCTTTACTCAGTTGCCAGATTATGTGAATCTTTATGGACTTTAGTTTGTCCAATTTAATACCAATATCCTTCGGGAAAAAAACATTCTTTACATACGGAAAATATCTAAAAATCTAGAAATATATAAAGCAAGATCATTCACAACGAAGACAACAAAATGATACCTAAAACGAAAAGTTAGAAGAAGGTAAAATAATGTCTTTAAAATACAAACCTCCTGAAGTTTGGTAAGATCCTAGAGATGTCTGCTGAACAGAACTTGAGATAGATGACAAGTTACTTCGACGTAAACCCTCAGCAGCGAGGATGCACAACTGGATTAGAAGGAAAATCCCAAGAATTTGGTATCTGCCACAAAAGTATGAAAGGCAGTTTAGTAACACTACCAACTAATTTCAGATCCTGTAAGTGCATTCACAAAAATTATCAACACATGCAGCTAATTTAACCTTCCTAGCAAAAGTGAATAATTGCCGCTGGAAGAAGATGGAGAAATCGGTACCTAGGGCGATGATTTGTTTGCTTTCCTATGAACACATAGCGAATTCCTGCCGCACGTTTTGATATATGGTAATAGAGTCCTGAAGAGAATGCAGATAGCTGGTAAAGATAAGTGCATACTATTTCTCCATGGGCATTTACATGATTCATCAAACTTTACCTTCAAAGTAGAAGAACATCAAATTTGCACGGAGAAACAATTGTAGAACTTCGCGAGCAACAGGGAGAACCTGAAATTGACACCTCTGTGTAAATGATTATGGGAAAACATCACAAGAACTAACTAGAATCAATGTACTTGGACTTAGGAGATACATCAGAAGAAAAGTAAAGGGGAGAATACAGATATCTGCAGCACTTAATTGAATGACAACTGATCTGAACAACTTTGATATAAATTTAAAGGGTACATGAAATCAAGCAGCAGTAGATTATAGTAGTGAGTAGTGATAGACAGAATAAATCAATATCAGCACATCCCAGCCTCAAATAGTTTGGACATGTAAATGAATAATGAAAATTAGGCTTGAGGGGTACATACCACAGGCCATCTCCGAATAGCGCAATACCATAGTCTCTTAAATTTGTCTTTCAACTTAGAGACTGCAGAAGCTGAAGTTGCTGTTTCGGGTGAAGATGGAAGATCAATCATTGTTGGTGGCTGGTTATGACCACCACTCTGAAGGGCAATATTGCCATAAAACTCATCAGAATGGGACTCAGCAAAGGACATTGCTTGTGCGGAAGCCCTAGAGCTGTTCATGAAGACAATTAACCGTTATCATTGATGAAGAGCTCTACAGTTAGTTCACAGCAAGACTCAAACTTCTATTTTCAAACAAGAATATGACGGCCAGTGGCACCTAAGTTTCTCGGCAATATATGGTACTGCTGTCTGGTAAACAATGAATAAAGCACGCCTAGCTGGTGTAGGTGAGAGTCCATGAGGTCCTGCAACCTAAAACATCATTCCTCATCAAACAAGCAATTTTTCCAATCAAAATTTACATTCTCCGAAAACTTATGAAAAGCTGACAAAGGCCAAACGTTTCGTGTAACCCTATGCATGTTTACAGTAAAGAAGGTAAACGCAGAAACATGAACCACAGACTGAAACCTGTATAATGTCGCAGTATTCTTCTCCTAATGTTTGTTGCCCTGAACCTGTCGTCAGAACGTAATAAAGCATTTGCCCGAGAAGCTTCATCTGCCAAAAACCATGAAGAAAGAGAGACACGCTGATCACAATCTCACAGCAACAGCAGCCCCAAAAAGAAGAACGAAACTTTAGTTTTGAAACCATAAAATAAAATATAATTTATAACAATTTATCATAAGTATGAGTATACATGGTCTCACCTCATTCTGATAAGCTAAAGCAATCCTGGTACCTAATCAATAGAAGCAGAGAGTGGATTAGAATCCGACGGGTAGCTCGAAGATTGAGCAGATTTATGATTACGATGAAAATTTCACAAGATTAATCAGAAAACTTTCCTTTGTCGACATTCTGAGGGCGAAATTTCGTACCGAACAGATGACGGAAGGCATCGCGACAGGCATCGTAGACGAAGGAGGCGTACTGGTCGTCTTTCTCCGCCGCTCTCATGATCTCCGGCTGAGCCGCCGGTTGAAATCGCCGGATTCCGCCGGACGGAGAGGCTCCGCCATCGTGAAACCCGCTCGAACTCGGATCGTCCCGATCGGACTGCCCATCTTTGAGTCTCATCTTCTCTTCTTTCGTCTGCGGTTTTCGTGCCCGTGGTGTGGACGGATGGATGAATGACCGGTGGGCAGCTTTACTTGTCGATGAGGTGACGTCACCGAGCTTGTTTTATTGCGGCGGTATGCAAACCGGGATCCAAAGCGGCCGCTTTATTTTCGGTTTGGTCGGCTAGAATTGCATTTTGCTATTTAAGGGGTTAGACAATTTATTTTTATTTTTTTGTTTAAAGGCTGTATTTGTATTTTTTGCGAAAAGGATAGTATTTCATTTTTAGTATTTCAATTCATCCAAAATTTTTATACAATTGTTTTTCAATCATTACAAAAACTAATTGAAAAGGCATGGTTGAAGTAAAAGAAAGAGCATATTAATTTATGTTCTTGCTAGAACAACATAGAGCATAGATGAAATATTGAAGAAATCAAAAAGCATGGACAAAATATGGGGAACAGAAGCAGCATGGGCTATTGTACATTAAAGAAATAGAATAAGAAAAAGAGAGAGGTGTATATGTCAAAATGAGGATATCATTTTCGTGCATCTCTCCTTAAACGCAACTGAAGAGGGTCTACAACATATGAGTGGGAGACCATTGCCATGGAGAGCTGATCATGAGAGATTGGTGAGTGCAATATGTATGAAAAACACATGTGAGTGATTTGTGAGAGAGAGCGATGTGTACTTGAGGGAAGCCTTCAAATAATAGGCGAACTGCTCACTGTCTAGATGTAGTCTAGGGTAACACGTGGTGTGCGTTGCACACAATGTGTTTGGGGTTGATAGAATTCCAAGTGATACTGGAGTTCTACTCTAGGGGAGTAAAACGAGAGGGTTGAGTGATACTTGGAAATGTTTGAAGTGTACTTGACTTGTATCAGATGAATATAATCAGTTCGAAAGTTTTGACTTGTGAAATCGTGTACATTTGCTTTTTCAATTAGTATCAGAGCAGGTCACTAGTCGTACGAAATTCTTCTCTCATATCGGTATATGATTCGGTTCACACGATAGATGGATTCAATAAATTTCAGTCTCTCAAAAAGCATGCTATGTTGGATTCTACCAACTATGGACATTGGAAGGTCAAGACTAGTGCCTACATCTGAGGTCTTGATGAAGATGTTTGGAACACAGTTACTGATGGATGGGCTCGACCTACTAACGTGATTGATGGGGAAAGAAAACCAAAACAAAAAATGGAGTGGACAGTGCAAGCAAAAAAGGAACCTGAATCAGAAAGTCTTGTCTATCATATTCAGTACCATATGCCATGAAGAGTTCACTCAGATTCAAGGATGTGAAACTGCAAAAGAAGCTTGTGACAATTTATAACTTATCCATGAAGGTACTTCCAAAGTGAAGAAGAACAGATTAGATATGATAGACTATCAGTTTGAGCGTTTGAGGATGAGAGAATATGAGAGCATTAAGGAGTTCTTTGGAAAACTGAGTGCCTTGTCAAATGAAGCAAATGTACTTAGGAAGAAGTTTAGTGATGATAAACTTGTGAAGAAATTTCTAAACAGTTTGCCAGCTAAGTATCACTCTCAGATTTTGGTATTCGAAGGGGTAAACAATCTGGATACAGTTAGCTTCAAAGAAGCAGTAGGGACTTTCGTTGCACATGAGTTGAGATTGCAACTCATGCATGAGGGGTCATCCACCTCAACAAAGAAGGGAATAACTTTGTACATGCAAGAGACAAAACAGTCAAAGGTTGAAATCAAGAAGCCTGTCAAGTTCAAAAGGTCATCTGAAGAAGATCTGAAGGAAGAAATGTCTCATATTAGTAGGAAGTTTAACAGATTTTTCGAAGGGAATAAGAGATTTGGACAAAGAAATGACAAAGGCACTGAAAAATGTTTGGAATGCGTGGGTACCAGACATTGGAAGGCTGAATGTCTGAGCATCGTAAAAAGGGAGATTGTGCTTAAGAATCTAAGAGAAATTCAATGCTTCGAATGCACGGGATTCGGATACACTAAGAAGGAATGTGTCAAACGGAAAGGAAAGTCACAGATCACACGTGAAGAGGATACTACAGATTTCGATAGTGATAACAATGATGATGAGCTATCCAACCTTGTTGCATTTATAGGAATTATTGCAGAAGAAGATGAACTAGTAGAAAACAATGGCGATGAAGAAGTCACTGAAGAAGAGTTGTTCAAAGAAATGACAAGGCTTGTTCAGATGAACACGCTTCTACTAAGTGACAAGGAACGATTGGAGAAAGAGCGTAGAAATACTCAGGTCCAACTGAAAACTACTCAAGAGAAGCTAGCACGAATAGTGGAAGAATCCTCACTCATGAAGTGTCAGCTCGAAGAAACTAAGAGAAATCTGCATCTTCTTGGAAGCGGAACTCGGAAACTTGATCATCTTCTTTGTCAAGGAAGAAAAGTCAAAGATCAGACTGGACTTGGATATGAAGGAAAATGTCAGGATCACCCAAAGTTTGTGTATGGAGGAAAGTTGCAGTCAGAAATATCTGCTGGAGTGAAAAGTAATTCTAACGTCATGAAAAGAAATATGCCCTTAGTTTGGAGAAATTGGAGAAGTCGAAGCTACTATTTTTGTGGAGAGCAAGGACACATCAGACGAAACTGCTACTATCTGAAATGGAACAAAAACAATTTCAGGTATAGTAATCCTAATCACATTTATCCACCTCAATCTTCATGGAATCTTAGATGGGTTCAGAAATCAGATTTGAAATGCCTTTAGCCTATGAAACTAAGCAAAATGATGACTGATAACTCCTATTCTTCTCTATATTTTGATGAGAGTTTGTCTAGGTTTTATAGGATAATCACATGCATTCATAGGCATTCTAGGCGTGTTAGGATACAAAACCCGGTTGTGCTCTAGTTTTGCAGAGTTACAGGTTTCAGAGATGATTGGACTCGAAAAGGAGCTAATTGGAGCGTTAAAGGAGAAGTCCGGATGAGGTACTCATGTTGCGACATCAATAACTTTCTCTACAGAGGTCCAAATCGTGCGAGACCTATACCATTGGAAAGAGCACTTCAAGAGCTTCGCGTAGACACCAAAATCGCGTAAATCCGACACCGGAGCAGAGAGTTATGAGCGAATTCGTGAAGACCAGAGAACTGCCGGTGCAGGGCCGATTCCGGCTGGAATCGGTCCGGATCAGGAACGCACAACTCGACCCCAGGAATCTGGATCCGGTCTGGATCCACCTGGAATCGGTCCGGATCCAGTCTAAAACCCTGTTTCGCGATTTTCAGCATTGGAATGGGATTAGAACTCTTGGGAGCCACCCTAGGGTTATAAAAAAGCCCTAGCCACGTCCTAGTACAGGGGAGAACCT